TGCCATCAGTATATCTTTGGTGACTTTCTATAATCGGATCTTCTGCCATTTTTAAATTGAGCTGTTTGTTTTCTTATCTTTGAGATTTAAGAGTTCTTTGTACATTTTAGATACCAGTCCTTTATCAGATTTGTGTTTTACAAATATTTCTCCCAGTCTGTGGCTTGTCTTTTCATTCTCTTAGTGGTTAGTGTGTTTATGCTTTAAGGACGAAGGTTCTAAAAATACAATTTTACAACAGCAGTAAAAGGCAAATGTCATAGCAAATGTTCTATGCTCTTTCTCAGGTGGTGTCAGGGAATCCTGTTTGTGGACCCAGCAAAGTTTCATTAAAAGTAGAGTCAGATACTGGGGTGGCTGACCATCCTGCATTATTAGAGGTTGTGCGACAAGGCTGGGAATAAGAACAGGATCCAGCCCTAGGCTGCATCACTTCTAAATAAAGAAAAATTCAGAAACTGTGTTTACAGTCCAATCCCGGGCCCCCTGCATGGATTATACCATGTGTAGGCTATGAATTTCTGTCCATGAATCCAAGTGTGTAAGAGATGATCACTTTTCCTATTTCTTAATCCCAACTCTGAGCCCCCATTCTGCCAGTCGGACAAGAGACTCCATCTTGATCATACAGGGGTGCCCTTCCCCTCTTGGGGCCCAGTCAGAATTCAGGAAGTTTGCCTGGTGCCTAAGAAGTGGTGGAAGTCCTAGTCTGTATTGGTTGCCATTGGCAGCCTTACTTTCTAGCCCACAGTGGTCTGTGAAGTCTGGCAGCTCTTTGCCCCACGCCACGGTGGGGAATGAGGTCACGTACTGAGGCTGGGTCCCCTGAGCCAAGGGCGCTGGCTCTCTAGGCATGAGCCACTGCCCCTGAGGTTGTTGTCTCTTTGGGAGCAGTGAGAGCGGTGCTTGATTCCCACTACACGTGGTCCCCATGCCCCTCTGCCCTCTCTCCCTTCTGCATCTCAAAGGCACTCTCCGTGTTGTCTCTCACCCTCTAGGGCACCTGTATTGTCTTTTCCAGGGGCTTTCACAAAAGTCCAGAAGTGCCTTTGACTTTAGATCTCTTCTGCTTTCTTCTCTGCAAAAATCTCTGTGTCAAGGAGGCTCAGAAGACAAACACTAATTAACATTTCAATAAATCATTTCTCTACAATTATTTGTGGAAACTATTTTATCCAGTATCAGAACCACCACCTGGAATACTTTTAGAGTGCCTCTTGACCACTGGCCACAGGAAGCCATTTATATAAAGCAACAAATACGAATGGAATTGGAAAATTCAGCTAAGTGTTTGGCTGTTTCCAAATACCACAGGTTTCTAGCTTTGCCTCCCAGAGTGGACCCTAACGATGTGGTCCCAGAGGAACATCTCTTGAGCAAAGCTGAGCAAGGACATAGGGAAGGGATCTGTTTCCTCCACTCAGCCACCATCTATAAGCCGCTCCCCTCCTGCTGCTTTCCTGGTAGCCTTGGCCTCCTCAGACCTTACAGCACCTGGGAGTGAGGCAGTGGAGGAAGCAGCCCCACACAGAAGGCAGGTTTCTGAGGTTACCAGCAACTTCCTCCTCACTAAACACAAGGAACTGATCTTCATTTTGTTTGACCTCTTAGCATTTGAAACTGTTGACCGCCATCACTGTTGAACCCTCTCTGTCCTTGGCCCTGATGACCCTTGGTAAGGCCTCCTTATCAGATTTTCAAATGGCACAGGCTTGGAGGGATGGCTAATTTACAATGGATGACATATGTGGGATTCAGAGTAATTTCGATTGGCTGAACGCTGGCCCCAAATACTGATACACAAACAAGATGGGGCCAGAGGGTGGTGATCTGACTCGACATGTGAAAAAAATCATGGTCAGCCAACCTCCCAATGCAACTATTTACAGGCTAATTTGATCTCTGACTCATTAACAAAAGTGATCTTGTCACTGCACCTTTCATTCTGTGAGCAAAGAGACAGTTGACAAACTCAGGGAGATGGGTGTCAGTACGAGAGCCACCAAGTTGATTAGGGTTCTAGAGACCAAATCACATGAGGAACAGTTGAGGATGCTGACCATATTTAGTTGAGAGAAGAGACTATTAAGGAAATGTGTAATATCTGCTTTTGACTATTTGGAGGATTTTATATCTAGATAGATATAGATACAGATATAGATATAGACACACACATACATATATTCTGGTAGTTCTAGAAAACATGTCAAGGACAACTAGATGGTACTTATGGGGGTGAGGAGTAAGGAGTGGGAGGTTTGGGATTATTATAAAGAAGACCTTTGTCTTTTTTTAAATTAATTTTATTGGAGGATAGTTGATTTACAATGTTTTGTTAGTTTCAGGTGTACAGCACAGCGATTCAGTTATACATATACGTATATCCATTCTTTTTCAGATTCTTTTCCCATATAGGTTATTACAGAATATTGAGTAGAGTTTCCTGTGCTACACATTAGGTCCTTCTTGGTTAGCTATTTTATATATAGTAGTGTGTGTATGTTAATCCCAAGTTCCCAATTTATTCCTCCCCCCCATGTTTCCCCTTTGGTAACCATAAGTTTGTTTTTGTTGTCTGTGAGTCTGTTTCTGTTTTGTAAATAAGTTCATTTATATCGTTTTTAAAAATTAGATTCCACATATGAGCAATATGGTATGGTATTTGTCTTTCTCTGAAAAAGACCTTTGTCTTATAACTGTCTTATCAGGTAGTGAGTTTTCTAATATTAGTGAAAAGGCAAAGACTGGACATCCATCTATCAGAGATGATATCGAGGGGGGTCGTTACTTGAGTGAGAGACTGAATGACTTCTGAGGTCCCTTAAACAACCCTGCAACTCAAATTAAGTCATAGAGTAGGAGAATTCCATGACACTGTATCATCTTTTATTTCTGCTGCCTGTCTCATCTCCCTGCACTTCTATGTTACAGCTTTGGAGGAGGCTGCTCTAAGCAAGAACTAAAATAAATGTATGAAAGAAGGGATATGGAAAAAAGAAAACAAAAACCAAAACCCTTTTTTAAAAAAGGGCCTACTACATGCCAGAATCTGTGCTAGGTACCATGTATATATATGTATATATGTCATCCTATTTGACCCTCACAACAAGCTTATAAGATACTTAGTATTACTTCTGTGAGGAAACTAAGGCTCAGAGAAGTTAAGTAACTTCCCCAAGAGCACACAGTTATTAACTATTGGAGCTGGGGTTTGAACACAGGTCTCTGTCATCCCAAAGTCCAGTGTGGCGTGTTATTTTTACTCATCCTTTACTTATGGCAAATGATACTGCTTTTTAAAATTTTTAGTATTGACATAAGGATCCCTTTTAAAATAAATTTACTTAAAGTAAGTTAAGAAAAAAATATTGTACAAAGAATAGTACAGATTTTACATGGGTATGAAGTGGTACGAGTACCTAGAATGACTGAAGTTTGGGAAATACTATTCCAAATATTTTGATAGCAGGACTTTCCAATTTAGTCAATCTTATATTTTGATGGCTGAGTACAAAGAAGAGAAGAAAAGTTGAAGAGTAAGTTAAATGTGAATTAGTTCCCTGTGCTCTGATAGGTGGGGTAATTTCATGTGTTACAATAAGGAAACCAAATGGACCCTTTCAAATTAAAAACTATATGACTGTAAAATCCAGAGGAAAACCCCAGGTGGGGCCTATTCGAGTAAAGGATGACGTTTCCAAGGTATGCACACAGAGTGGCTGAGGGGAAGTAGTGGGAAAGAATGATCATCACCTTTCCAGTGATAGAAGGAAGATTTTTGTGGAAAGGTCAAAGTGAGAATTGGAAAGTCCGAAAAGAAGGTAGGAAAGTAGTAACGAAGACTAAACAGTGCAGAGCATGCTCTGTGTCGGGTGCTTTACATGCAAGACCTCATTTGTTTTTCACAACAACGCGGCAAGGAAGCTATTACTAGTCACAATTCATAGATGAGAAGATTGAGACTGGGAGGCGTTCAATAACTTGCCCAGGGTCCAGTGGCTCAAGCCAGGCTTTGCCCTTGGGCTGATCACCAGTTCCAAACCTGCACTACTTCCCCTGCACCACACGCCCTTGCTTGGGTGGACCTCCTCCACTCAGACAACATCAAGCAGTTTTCACTCTGTCACTCTTAATTTCTCCAGCCTTGCAGGGCACAGCTAGCCTCCAAGAGGTGGGGAGGCATGCTCAGAGGGGGGCTGCCTCTCTCCTGAGCTGCAGACTCAGAGGCACATAATTGCCCCCAAAATTGAGCAGAGGGCATTGTAGGGCCTGATCGGGTCAGAAAAAGAAGCTATGCGTTTGGGGCAGGATTATATATGTGAGGCCTATTTCTGCCTAAGCACTGGATTTGGAAAAATCCACTTGGAATTCACATACTTTCATACTTCTTCTTGTGACTTTTCCCCAGACTCAAGAGTACCATCGGCTTCCAGGAATAGCAAACCAAGGTAACAGAAACATTCTAGGCTACGACAATGAGGATTAGATTAGGGTAATCTGAAAATAGGGGCTGTGTAGGCTCATTGGGTTCTCACAGGATCCATGGAGTGAAACTCAATGAATGATTTTGTGGGGAAGGTGACAGGTGAAACACTGGGACTCTCTGCTCTCTCTCGTTGAGGACTGTCTCCTGCAACCCGGCCGAGCCAGACAGAGCATCTGGCACATGGCTGCCCAGTAAAACATTTGCTGAACTGAGCTGACTCTTTACCTGTAGACCTCTGTAATCTGTCAGGGAAGGTGTCTTTGCCATGTTTGTGGCGGGGCTGTCTTTGGGGGGTTTCCTCAGGGCTTTACAGTCACTCGCTCTCAGGAGTGCATCTGTAGTCATTCTCATCAGTGGAAATGCCCACCTGTCAGCAGAAGTTATCTGGAACCAGCGAGAACACTGTCACTGTCTGTGGTGTTATTTCTCTCTGGTCAGTTCCCCTTTCTGCATTTGAGATCTAGCCTCAGCCCTGACATTCTTTCTCTATTAGGAGTGTTGGGAGGTATGGGGAGCTCACAAAGGCTCCTCTTCGTTTATTCTTAATACCTTGCTTCTGTGTTCCTCGGGAATGCCACTGGGCTTATGCCTCTGGTCTCTGGGAGCTGCAGTGGATGGGCATTTGTGACAGGTATGTTCTTATGAAGCTTGTATGCCTGGGGGAGCATGGTATGGGATCAAGCTGCATCTGGGGCAGATGTTCAGAGGTGGGGCTGACAGCCAACAAGGGAGTGGGTAAGAAGGGGTGAGGGGTACGTGTTTAAAACCTTTGACCATTAGGCTTGATTCTCAGACCAGCTACGTCGCAGGTGGGACATTATTGAACCGTGTCTCTTCCAGTCAGATCCCTTTGTCTGCTTTGGTGAGCTAAGAGACGCGACAGGCAGGAAATAGAGGGCACCACTTACCAAACACTGGCAGTCGCTCTTGGCCTTGGAGTGCTGGGGGCTACAAGTAGCTCTGCTCCAGGAGAAGCTGTCCAAGTATGCTAGCCCTGACTGAGCCCCTTGGGCCAGTAGAAGGTCCAGAGGACGGGGACAAAACTTACACCCTCTGAAATGGCCTCTGCTTTCTTGTTTGGCCTTTCCCTTCTCCTGTCCAGAAACCTTTGCCCATTTCTTCCTCCCATCCAAGTGCCCCATCCCAATATTGGCCCCTTCTGGCACCAGAGACCAATAGCTTCTTTGGAAAGAAATAGTCCTAGGTCAAAAGAGAGCCCAGGCAGTGGTTTATCATGTTCTGTATACCATGAACATATTTGCATTTGCAAATAGGCTTAAAATAGTGCCTCCACTAATAGTTATTTAAGGCTCTGGAGAGACAGGTGAAAATAATTTTTGGCCAAGGGAACTTCCCACTCCTCTCAAATTGTAATAACTGAGGAGTTGACCTGTTCCTCCCAACCTCAATCTTGGGACTTAGACTCTAGACTAAAATAAGTCAATTTAATTATGTGCACAAGTTCACAGTGTTATATTATATCTTCTGTTTGCTGCTACAGATACCACTAACTCTATTTACATGAGCTATCCTGTGTATAATGGAAGCTTTTTCAAATCTCTGCTCATTTGTGTGTTCTAAATACATTTATTGAATGCTTCCTACATCCTAGGTACCAGGTTTCTAACAGGGAGCATAAAAGACATGGTCCTTGTCCTCCTGAAGCTTCTAACCTAGTGGGAAAACAGTGCTAATTAAATAGTCACACTAAAAAATGACCATATAGCAACAGTGCTTTGAAGAGAAGAAATGGTTCTTTGTGACTGTGCTCACTGTTCAATAACTATGCCTTTGAGCTTGATATTTTGGCTCCTCTGATATCCCCAGATAACAGATGTCCCCTCCTGGTGGAGGTGAGGACTGGGTTTCATGAAATTGAGGCTAGGGTGGGAGGGGAGAGAACATGAAAGGTGAAAGGGTGAGCCAAGCTAGATTCCTTAGGAGAAGAATCAAGGTTCAGATACCATGCTTCAAAAATCAGATGGGCTTCCCTGGTGGCGCAGTGGCTGAGAATCCACCAACACGGGTTCAAGCTCTGGTCCGGGAAGATCCCACATGCCGCGGAGCAACTAAGCCCATGCGCCACAACTACTGAGCCTGCGCTCTAGGCCCCGCGAGCCACAACTACTGAGCCTGTGCCCCACAACGAGAGAAGCCACCGCAATGAGAGGCCCGCACGCCGCAACAAAGAGTAGCCCCCGCTCTCTGCAACTAGAGAAAGCCTGCGCACAGCAACGAAGACCCAAAGCAGCCAAAAATAAACAAATAAATACATTTATTTAAAAAAAATCAGATAGAGGTGGGAGTTGAGTTTAGGGGTCTCTGGGCCAGGAGATTGAAGCTGTGAAGACACAGAACTAGAGCAAACATGTCTAAACAAGCGAGGAGGTGGTGGGGAGTTTCCTGGAGTCATTCAGAGTCCAAGCAAGTGGGGACACTTCACCTTTCATGGCCAGGAAGGACGGATAGGGCCCTAGGCTGAGCATATAACCCTTTATTAGACACTTATCCTCATCTCGAATCTGATATAGAGACCTTCTGAGCTGCACATCAGAGTACACTTAGGCTGAGGTTTGGGAGAGAGAAACCATTTTGAATATATGTAGAAGAAGAAAAGTATCCAGCACTTTCTGTCTCTCCATCAAGATGGGAAAGGTCCCATTCCCTGTTCTCCCTCCTTTCGTGAATATGATTTCTTTCCGAGTTCCATTTCCTATTTAGATAAATTAACTTGAGCTTAACTCTTTTATTATTTTTTAAATTAATTAATTTATTTTTTGGCTACAATGGGTCTTCGTTGCCACACGCAGGCTTTCTCTAGTTGCAGGGAGCAGGGGCTACTGTTCGTTGCGGTGCGCGGGCTTCTCATTGTGGTGGCTTCTCTTGTTGCGGAGCACGGGCTTCAGTAGTTGTGGCACACAGGCTTAGTTGCTCCACGGAATGTGGGATCCTCCTGGACCAGGGCTCGAACCCGTGTCCCCTGCATTGGCAGGTGGATTCTTAACCACTGCGCTACCAGGGAAGCCCAAACTTAACTCTTAATAGCTAAAAACAAAAGACATTTCTCCTTTCCAGATAGCATTTGCATTTTAACAGGGGCTTTCAAAAAATGCCTTTACCCAAGGAATGAGTAATTTGGGAATTCCAAGTACCAGGGTTGGGTTAGTACATGGAATGGGGAGAAGACTGTGCCCTTGAAACTTTGGTTTTCTCTTTTTGACCGTGATTCTGGTTCTGAGAGAACAGGAAGGGGCTCCCTTAGGTTGCCGGAATTGGCATGGCTGCCTTTTGGTAAGTTCTGTGGGTCTTATTCATGGCAGGCAGAGCCCCTAATTGGATATTTACAGACTCAGAGAGAGGAACTTGTAAAACTTTGCATGATACTTACCCATAGGAACTTTTTGGCAAAAGGGGAAAAGTGGTTTCCAAAACCATTGATAATTTGAAAAAGCAGTGCTTCTTGACTCAGAAAGGTCCGATTCTAGATGCGACTAGGAAAACTGGGCATCTGTCTCATACACAAACTTGCTGCTGGGAGACTGGAAAAGCTAATTACTATTGCCATGTTACGCTCCTTCTTCTGGGCAAGTGAGGGGAATGGACTCAATTTTAAGACTTTAGTTACCTGCAATATTGGGGAGTGAAGAAAAGCACCCCCCTGCTCCTTATGAATCTGCCTAGACATTTCTTCTTTGTACCTAGGCATCTTTGATACTGCTCCCCTCATATCTGTGTGGAAACACTGTGCTCCCAAATGGGTGAGCAAAAGGACAGCTAACGAAAGGAAGGCAGTGTTAGGTAAGAAACTTCTCCACCAATGAGAGCCCAAAGGGATTTGCTCCAAGAAGAGACTGGAAACCAAGTCAGACATATGATCCAGCCTAAGCTAGGAGATGTGGCTGGTGGGGAAGCTCAAGGAAAGCAGAGCTCAGGATGGGTGACGTGTGTCCGTACCAATCACCTCCCATGTCCACCAGACACCAGGAAGTGTTCACGTTTTCATCAAGGCATCACTAATGCCCATCTTCTTTCATGTCATGCCTGCTGCCCCTAAGCTGGTTCGGCCTCTTCATCTCAAGGTCTACAAGCCTTTAACATTGGCTTTCTTGATCACCCTGATATCAGCCCTCGCCTCCTTCCTCAGGCCACTGACAGGACTATTTTCTTTAAATTTTCATTACATAATTCTTTTGCTCCCACACTATTAATCCCAAACTCCCAATTTTCTATCAAATCAAATATAAACTCTTTATCTGACTTTCTAGGCCTTGTTAAGCTATCCTACGCTGCTTACAGAAACTCATTTCCCATTATTTGTCCAGAGTCAACCATCAACCTCTCTTCCAGTCCAGCCTGATTTTCTTACTGTCCTATGAAAAGACCATGGTACTTCCCTTATTTCCAGGTGTCGTAACATTACTATATTTGATTGTGGCTTAGGAAGTTGCCAAAGACTTTTATACTAGTAGGAAACATTGAACACAGGGTTCTGCCTCTGTTCTTATACATGTGCATGCACTTCAAGAATATGGCTAAAGGGCTTCCCTGGTGGTGCAGTGGTTGAGAGTCCGCCTGCCTGCGCAGGGGACACGAGTTTGTGCCCCGGTCCAGGAAGATCCCACATGCCGCGGAGCGGCTGGGCCCGTGAGCCATGGCCGCTGAGCCTGCGCATCCGGAGCTTGTGCTCTGCAACGGGAGAGGCCACAACAGTGAGAGGCCCACGTACCGCAAAAAATAAAATAAAATAAAATAAATAAGAATATGGCTAAAATACTTATCCAGCTAAACTCAATCAAACATTTAAAAGTGGTTCATCAGGAGGCAGCAGTTTTTTGAGACACATTAACTGGATGCCTAGGATGGTACTTCTTCAGGAATCTGTTTGAAGGGCTGTCCTAGGAAGAATTGTTGGAAGCTTGCAAAGGCTTTCAAGGACAGAGGCAGATAGCCACCACATCGAGGTCTGGACAATCAACAATTGCTAACATGAAAGGAAGACAGAAATTCTCTGAGAAAGATTCTGTTACGCAGTGGCCTAGGCTGACAAGTCTCTGGAGTGGGAATATCAGAATGAGTGGGCTTAGGTGGAGCGCTGGGTAGAAGCCTCATCTGCTCTAACAGAACTTGACTCTCTCCAGCAAGCACTAACACCCCTAGCTTACTCTGTTCCTGTCACCAGAGGACAGATCTGAGACCAAATCTGACCTACTTTTAAGTCCCAGGTCAGTTATCACCATCTTCACCCCACCCTTCTGGACTATAGGAGTGCTTGCTGTTCTCCATCTCTTCTGAAGCCTTAGACCACATGTCAGCTCAGCAGACCCTCCACAGACCCTGGGATCCTCTAAATGCACCCTACCATATACTATGCTAAAAATAAGAGGAATGGAATTGGGTGGGGGCAGGGAAAGGTGGTGTGTCCAGGTTTTCTCCCTTATTTTTCCTCCCTCCTGGGAATGGAATGAGAAGCTTCAAGGTAAACTTAAAAGTTATAAAGTTCAACCACCCACCCAATTCAAGCATCTCTCTTAAAATGTCTCTCTGCATTACTACCCCACTTTTGCTTGAGCAAGTCTGGTGATGAGGAGCTCATTACCTCACAAGAAAGTCCAGTCCTTGGTTGTACCACTC